CGGGGTTCTTTGGCAGTTCTCGTGGGTTGAGACAGGGGGATCCTCTCTCCCCTTTTCTTTTTATTATCGTTATGGAGGCCCTTAGCAGGCTGATGAGAAGGGCGGTGGATTTGGGTTTTCTTAGGGGTTTCAAGATTGGCCCTGAATCAGTTCAGCAGTTGGAGATCTCTCATTTACTTTTTGCGGATGACACTATTGTTTTTTGTGAGGCTGATGTATCCCAGTTGAGGTATCTGAGATGTGTTTTGGTTTGTTTCCAGGCTGTTTCTGGTTTGAAAGTTAACGTGGGAAAGAGTGTAATTGTTCCTGTGGGGGAGGTTCAGGAGGTGGACACTCTGGCTGCTGTTCTAGGGTGTGGGACGCAACGCTTTCCCATCTCGTACTTGGGTTTGCCGCTGGGGGACTCGGCTAGAAGGGTGGGAAGTTGGAACCCGGTGATTGAGCGGGTCGAGAGAAGATTAGCAGGTTGGAAAAAACAATATCTGTCAAAGGGCGGTAAAGTTACATTAGTGAAGAGCACTTTGTCAAGCCTTCCAACGTACTTTCTTTCGTTTTTTCGTATTCCAGCCTCTATTGTTGGAAGACTAGAAATGCTCCAACGTAATTTCCTTTGGGGGGGTTGCGGAGAAGAGTTCAAGTATCATCTTGTCAAATGGGAACAGGTTTGCAAGCCTATTCGGTTGGGAGGGCTTGGAATTAGGAAATTGGCCCTTTTCAATTGTGCTCTTCTTGGTAAGTGGCTTTGGAGATTTGGTAAGGAAAGACATAGATTATGGAGAAGGGTTATCTCATGTCCCTTTGGGGAGGAGAGAGGAGGGTGGTCAGTTAGACCAGTCAGGTCTGTTAGCGGAGTGGGGGTGTGGAGGGCCATTGGTAAGGGGTGGGATGCCTTTTCCAAACATATTAGATTCAGAGTTCGGGATGGAAGAACTGTCCGATTTTGGGAGGATCCATGGTGTGATGATAGGCCTTTGGCCCTATTGTTTCCCAGGCTTTTCAGGATTGCTGTTGACAAACATGCTATGGTTGCTGACTACTATCGCCTTGATAGTGGAAGGTTGTCTTGGGATGTGCGTTTCCAGCGAGCTTTTCAGGATTGAGAGCTGGATGATGTCACTGGGTTTTTGGCTCTCCTTTACGGACAGGAGGTGGAGGGGTCTGGGGCAGATTCCTTGATTTGGGTGCCTTCTTCTCAGGGGATGTTCCAGGTCCGGTCCTTTTTTGTGTGCCTTTCTGGTTTTCATGGTACCTCATTCCCATGGAAGACGGTGTGGAGGTCTAAGGCGCCTCTTAAGGTGGCCTCTTTTGTGTGGATTGCAGCTTAGAGTAAGATTTTGACTTTGAACAATTTGAGGAAGCGAAGGCATATCATTGTTAATAGGTGTTGTCTTTGCAAGATTAATGGGGAGCCGGTGGATCATCTTTTGTTGCACTGTTCAGTGGCTCATGATTGTTGGAGTTTGATGTTTGGCCTGTTTGGTATTCATTGGGTCATGCCTCGGTCATCTTGGGAGTTGTTAGATATGTGGAGGGGCCAATGGGTGGGTGCTCAGGCCAGAGTTTTTTGGAGGGTGATCCCTTTTTGTATTTGGTGGAGCCTTTGGAGAGAGCGTAATGGAAGATCTTTTGAGGGAAAGGAATCCTCCATTGGGGTGTTAAAATTTTCTATCATTTGTAATTTGTTTTGTTGGGGTTCAGGGGAGAGATTACTCCTCTCTTGAGGAGATTGTTGATTTTATGAGCTCTTTGAGTTCATAGGCTCCGTTTTGTCTTTGTATAGTTTGGGACGCGTTCCCCTTTTGAACGCTTTTAATACAATTTACTTATCAAAAAAAAAAAATTAACCTATTTATCTATTTATTATTATTATGAATTTTTTAATAAAAGAAAATTTCACTCATTTCATTGGTTGGGAATTCTTCCTATAAAGGGAGACAGACGTTCATAGCCTGTCGAGATCACTCATTTATTAATTGATATAAAAAAAGTTTTTCAAATAGTTTGTATTAAACTATAACACAAATTACCAATTTATTTATTTATTATGAGTTTTTTAATAAAAGAAAATCTAATTAGACAATAATTATTAATATAAAAAATATTTTTTAATTGATATAAATTAAAAAAAAATTTCTAAAACTCTACCGCAAATTACCTTTTCTTATTATTTTTTTTAACAAAAGGTAATCTAATTAGACAAGAATTATTAATATATAAAAATATTTATTAATTCATATAAAAGAGTTTTTAAAAGATTTTCTATAAAACTCTAACACATATTACCTATTTATCTATTTGTATCTCAGTATTTATTTATTTATATAAAAAAATATTTATTAATTGATACAAAAATAGTTTTTATAAAAATAATTTCTATAAAACTCTAAAAATTACCTAATAAAATCAATCACGGTAAAATATTTATTAATTGATATAAAAATGTTTTTATATAAATAGTTTCTATAAAACTCTAAAAATTACCTAATAAAATCAATCACAATAAAATATTTATTAATTGATATAAAAAAAACAATAATTTTTTATGAATAATTATCACAATATAACCGACTCGACCCAATTATGATTATGTCATTAGGAGAGGACACATGTCATTATCATATTAATCCAAGAAGCCTATAAATAAAGGCATGAAGGAAGGAGGAAGGGGCACAGAAATTGAGAATTCTAGAAATTCAGAATTCTAGAGAGAAATTCAGAAGGGCATAGACTCAGAATTCCAGTGTAAAATACAGAAACTCTGACAAAAAGTTTCAGTAGTTATTTATTTATAAAAAAAATATTAATTAATTGATATGAAAAGAGTTTTTATAAAATACAATAAAAACTCTATAAAACTCTAAAATCTACCTTATAAAATTCAAATTAACCTACTTATCTATTTATTATTATGAATTTTTTAATAAAAGAAAATCTTAATTATTAGTATAAAAAATATCTATTAATTGATATATAAAATAAAACAATTTTTCTAAAACTATGCCACAAATTATCTTTTATTATGAGTTTCTTAATAAAATGAAATTTAATTACACAAGGATATATTTAAAGAAAATAAAATAATTTCTATAAAACTCTATCGCAAATTACCTATTTTATTTTTAATAAAACTCTATCACATTAGACAAAGATATATTTAAAGAGTTTCTATAAAACTCTTAACACAAATTACCTATTTATCTATTAATATAAGTTTTTTAATAAAAGAAAATCTAATTTGACAAGTATTATTAATATAAAAAAATATTTATTAATTGATATAAAAAGAGATTTTAAAAGAGTTTCTATAAAACTCTAACACAAATTAACTATCTATCTATATATTATAAGTTTTTTTAATAAAAGGAAATCTAATTAGACAAGAATTATTAATATAAAAAATATTTATTAATTGATATAAAAAAAAGTTTTTGAAAGAAATTCTATTAAACTCTAACACAAATTACCTATTTATTTATTTATTATGAGTTTTTTAATAAAAGAAAATTTAATTAGACAAAAATTATTAATATAAAAAATATTTTTTAATTGATATAAAAAATAAAATAATTTTTCTAAAACTCTATCACAAATGACCTTTTATTATGAGTTTTTTTAATAAAAGGTAATCTTTTTAGACAAGAATTATTAATATATATAAATATTTATTAATTCATATAAAAAGAGTTTTTAAAAGATTTTCTATAAAACTGTAACACATATTACCTATTTATCTATTTATTATAAGTTTTTTGAATAAAAGATAAAACTCTTTCACATTATCTATATATTATGAGTTTTTTAATAAAATAAAATCTAATTAGACAAGATTATATTTAAACAAAATAAAATAATTTTTATAAAACTCTACCACAAATTAGCTATTTTATTTTCTATAAAACTCTACCACATATTACCGGTATTTATCTATTTACTATTAATATTTTACAGAAAATAAAATAAATTTTATAAAACTCTACCACAAATTATCTATTTTTAAAAAAAAAAACTCTATTACGTATCACCTGTATTTATCTATTTATTATGACTTTTTTAATAAAAGGAAATTTAATTAGACAAAAATATATTTAAAGAAAATAAAATAATTTTTAAAAGAGTTTATATAAAACTCTAACACAAATTACCTATTTATCTATTTATTATGAGTTTTTTAATAAAAGAAAATATAACTAAACAATAATTATTAATATAAAATATATTTAATAATTGATATAAAATATAAAATAATTTATCTAAAACTCTACCACAAATTACCTTTTATTATGAGTTTTTTAATAAAAGAAAATCTAATTAGATAAAGATATATATTTAAAGAAAATAAATAATTTATATAAAATTCTACCGCAAATATTTTATTTTCAATAAAAATTCTAACACAAATTACCTAAATTTAGTATTAAAATAAAAAATTTATTAATTAATAAAAAAATTAAATATAAATATTTTAGTATTAATATGAAAATCTAAAAGAATTTATTACTTTACAAAACTCAAACTCTACCACCAATTTCAAATTATTTCAGTATTTATTTATTAATATAAAAAAAATATTAATTAATATAAAAAGAGTTACAAAAAATTGCAATATTGCAATTTTTTGTAAGGTTTATTATTACAAGCTTTAAATCAACAATTAAAAAAAATGAAAACAAAAATTCTAAGTTACAAAACGTTCACCATGTGTGCAATGCACGTGCCTTTTCCTAGTATATATATAGAAACATTGGATTGCACTGAACTCATATTTATCCACAATAATATAAGATGAAATCACAAAAGAATTCTAAGGAGAGATTTCACTATGCATTTGTTTGCTGATGACATAATGCTACTGGACCTTTTACAGAAAATTTAGCAAAAGGTGGAGAAACACGTTAGAAATAAATAAATAAATAAAATTGAACAAATAAAATTGAACAAACATGTGAATCCCCAGACATATTTTAAATTAAAGAAACCTGAGGGCAGCATGAGTTGATTACCTTCTGTTTGATCCTCAACTCATTTATTAGATCCATTGTGTTACTGAGTTTCCGAAGCTCCTTATTGGCCCTTGAATACTCTACTGATGAGGCTTCTGGCTGTCTTTTAATCAACACAAAAAAATTAACAAGATAGAACACATGCAATAAACATCACAGTTTAATAACCCATCAATGGAAGGGATATGAGGAATTTAAACTTTATTTTTTTTAGTACTAGCTACTATGAAATCAGAAGGCACAAAGAAAAGACTGTTGTTTTCGTACAGCTCTAGCAGCTTCATATATATAGGAGAACTTTGGGGTATATATTGCCTGATCTATGAGCTTTCATGTTGGAATGACTGTTACCCGATTTATGATACCCTGAAGATACGCATTCCTATTTTCAATAGCTGATAGTCTTTGTTCCATAATCTTGATTAGATCAGTAGATATTTGGGGTTGCAATTCTGCATTTTGTGAAGAGCTCAATCAACCTAATAATAATAACAATAATAAAAAAAAAAGACCCAATATTTGATTTGTATGTATGTTTGATATTTGATTTGAAGCTAGGGTTTTAGAACGAAATCAGAATCACCAGACTATAGAATCCATGAATAAATGAATGAATGAAGATACGTACGCAGTCACGCACCAGTAGTATAGGAGCGGAGATGGGATATGGACTTGAAGGTTTTTGGCATTGCTGAAGAAGAAGAATGCAGAAGAAGCAATCTTGGAACATGTCGTCGCCAATTCGAATGCAAAAAGCTTGAGAATGATTCGAATTGTTGAGACCACCCAACAATCAATCCATATCGACATCGAAATCGATTACTCCACACAATCATAAACCCTCCAATTCTCATTCCAATTGATCTTCGCGATGCGTTGCTTTTATTTTCCCCAATCCAATGAAAGTGAGTGAGAACCTAAAATGAAAATGAAAACGAAAACCCTAAAATTAAAATGAGTTGAGAGAGAGAGAGAGGAGGGGGGGCCTAGGCCCTTTTATTTTATTTTATTTTATTTTATTATTGCTTTTTTAAGGTAAGTGGATCAAGATCAGGTTGAACGGTTTTTCCTTGTTTGAACACTGTTAATTAAGGAAGGTAAAAAATTGTATTAATTTTATATACAATTTTCGTCTATATACCTATATTATTATTAAATATGGAAAGTGTTTTAGTATTTGTAAAACTTTAAAAATTACTTAATAAAATCAATCACATTCTATATAAAATTATTATTTTTAGTTATCTTCTATGAATAATTATAGTTTCTATAAAACTCTAAAAATTACCTAAGATCAATCACATCCTATATAAAAGTTTTATTTTTAGTTATTTTTTATAGATAATTATCACAATATAACCAGTCCGGCCCAATTATGATTATGTCATTATTAAAAAAAAAGGACACATGTCATCATCCTATTCATCCAAGAAGCCTATAAGTGGAGGCATGGAGGAAGGAGGAAGGGGTACAAAAATTGATAATTCTAAAAATCCAGAATTAGTAAAATATAGAAACTCTGCCAAAGAGTTTCAGTATTTATTTATTTATATAAAAAATATTTATTAATTGAGTTGAATTTCAGAGTAAAATACAAAAGCTTTGTCAAGAGTTTTCATTATTTATTTATTTATATAAAAAAATATTTATTAATTAATATAAAAAAAGTTTTTATCTATATTATTATCAGGCGTGTAAAGAGTTTCATTATTTATTTAAATAAAAAAATATTTATTAAATGATATGAAAAGAGTTTTTACTAAAAAAAAAAACTATAAAACAGTAAAATCTACATAATAAAATTTAAATTAACCTATTTATCTATTTATTATTATCCATTTTTAATAAAAGAAAATCTAATTAGACAAGATTTATTAAGATAAAAAAATATTTATTAATTGATATATAAAATAAAATAATTTTATAAAACTCTACCACAAATTAGTTTTTATTATGAATATCTTAATAAAATTAAAACTAATTAGACAAGTATATATTTAAAGAAAATAAAATAATTTCAATAAAACTCTATTACAAATTACATATTTTATTATCAATAAAACTCTATCAACAAAGATATATTTAAAGAGTTTGTATAAAACTCTAACACAAATTACCAATTTATCAAGAGTTTTTTTAATAAAAGGAAACCTAATTAGACAAGTATTATTAATATAAAAAATTATTTATTAACTGATACAAAAGGAGGTTTTTTAAAGAGTTTTTAAAATACAAATTATTTATTTATCTATTTATTTTGAGTTTTTTTTACTAAAAGTAAATCTAATTAGAAAAGAATTATTAAAATAAAAAATATTTATTAATTAATATAAAAAGAGTTTTTAAAAGAGTTTATATTAAACTTTAACACAAATTACCTATTTATTTATTTATTACAAGTTTTTTAATTAAATAAAATCTAATTTACCTAATAAAAATAATCACATTCTATATAAAACTCTTATTTTTAGTTTTTTTTTATGGATAATTATAGTTTTTATAAAAATCTAAAAATTGTGTAATAAAATCAATCATATTCTATATAAAACGATTATTTTTAGTTTTTTTTATGGATAATTATAATTTTTATAAAAATCTAAAAATTATCTAATAAAATCAATAATATTCTATATAAAACTCTTATTTTTTGTTATTTTTTATGAATAATTATCACAATATAACCGGACCGGCTCAGTTATGATTATGTCATTATCAAAAAATGACATATGTCATTATCCTATTCATCCAAGAAACCTATAAATAGAGGCATGGAGGAAAGAGGAAGAGGTACAGAAATTGAGAATTCTAGAAATCTAGAATTCCAGAGTAAAATACAGAAGTTCTGCGAAAGAGTTTCAGTGTTTATTTATTTATGTAAAAAAATATTTATTAATTGATATAAAAAGAGTTGAATTCCAGAGTAAAATACAGAAACTCTAAAAAAATATTTATTAATTGATATAAAAAGAGTTTTTATCTATACTATTATTAGATGTGTAAAGAGTTTCAATATTTATTTATGTATGTAAAAAAATATTTATTAAATAATATGATAAAACACAAAAATCTACATAATAAAATTTAAATTAACCTATTTATCTATTTATTATTCTCAATTTTTTAATAAAATAAATCTAATTAGACAAGAATTATTAATATAAAAAATATTAATTAATTGATATATAAAAGAAAATAATTTTTATATAACTGTACTATGAGTTTCTTAGTAAAATTAAATCTAATTAGACAAGTATATATTTAAAGAAAATAAAATATTTTCTATAAAACTCTATTACAAATTACCTATTTTATTTTCCTTAAAACTCTATCAACAGTGTTTATATAAAACTCTAACACAAATTACCTGTTTATCTATTTATTATGAGTTTTTTTAATAAAAACAAACCTAATTAAACAAGTATTATTAATATAAAAAATTATTTATTAACTGATACAAAAAGAGATTTTAAAAGAGTTTTTAAAAAACTCTAACACAAATTACCTATTTATCTATTTATTATTAGTTTTTTAATGAAACTAAATGTAATTAGACAATAAATATTAAAATAAAAAATATTTATTAATTGAAATAAAAGAGTTTAAAAAAAAGTTGATATTAAACTCTAGCACAAACTTCTTATTTATTTATTATGAGTTTTTTAATAAAAGAAAATCTAAGTAGACAAGAATTATTAATATAAAAAATAATTTCAATTAATATAAAAAATAAAATAATTTTTCTAAAATTCTACCATAAATTACCTTTCATTATGAGTTTTTTTTTTTAATAAAAGCTAATTTAATTAGATAGGAATTATAAAAATATTTATTAATTCATGTAAAAAGAGTTGAAAAATATTTTCTATAATACTCTAACACGTATTACAAATTACAATTTTTTAATAAAAGAAAATCTATTTTTCAGAGTAAAATACAGAAGATCGACCAAAGTGTTTCAGTATTTATTTAATTATATAATAAAATATTTATTAATTAATATAAAAAAATATTTTATCTATACTACTATTAAATGTGCAAAGAGTTTCAGTATTTAAGTATTTATTTATAAAAAAATATATTTATTAATTGGTATGAAAAGTTTTTTTTTTTTTTTTTTAAAAAAAAAAAAAAAACTCTATCAAACTCCAAAATCTATCTAATAAAATTTAAATTAACCTATTTATCAATTTATTATTATGAATTTTTTAATAAAAGAAAATTGAATTAGACAAGAATTATTAATATAAAAAATACTTATTAATTAATATATATAAAATAAAATAATTTTTCTAAAACTCTACCACAAATTAACTTTTATTATGAGTTTCTTAATAAAATTAAATTTAATTAGACAATGATATATTTAAAGAAAATAAAATATTAAATTTGCAAAGAGTTTCAGTATTTATTTATTTATAAAAAAAAATATTTATTAACTGATATGAAAAGAGTTTTTATAAAAAAAAAATAATAATAAAAGAAAAAAAAAACTCTATAAAACTCTAAAATCTACCTAATAAAATTCAAATTAACTTATTTATCTATTTATTATTATGAATTTTTTAATAAAAGTAAATCTAAAGTTTCAGTATTTATTTATTTATTTTAAAAATATTTATTAAATGTGGAAAGAGTTTCAGCATTTCAGTATTTATTTATTTATATAAAAAAATATTTATTAATTGATATGAAAAGAGTTTTTATAGAAAAAAACTTCTATAAAACTCTAAAATTTACCTAATAAAATTCAAATTAACCTATTTATTATTATGAATTTTTTAATAAAAGAAAACCTAAATTTCTGAGTAAAATACAGAAGTTGTGCCAAAGTGTTTAAGTATTTATTTATTTATATAAAAAAATGTTTATTAATTGATATCAAAATGTTTTTATCTACAGTATTATTACATGTGCAAAGAGTTTCAGTATTTAACTATTTATTTTTATCAAAAAAAAATATTTATTAATTGATATACAAAGAGTTTTTATAAAAATAAAAAAAAATAAATAAAAAAAATGTCAATCAAACTCTAAACTCTATCTAATAAAATTTAAGTTAGTTTATTTATCTATTTATTAATATGAATTTTTTAGTAAAAGAAAATCTAATTAGACTAAAATTATTAATATAAAAAATATTTATTAATTGATATATAAAATAAAATAATTTTTCTAAAACTCTACCACAAATTAACTTTTATTATGAGTTTTTTTAATAAAATGCTGGATTATGAGGTACATTATACTGCTAAAAGGAAGAAGGATATATTTAAAGAAAATAAAATAATTTTTATAAAACTGTATCACAAATTACAAATTTTATTTTCAATAAAACTCTATCACAATAGACAAAGATATAATTTTTAAAGAGTTTCTATAAAATTTTAACTCAAATTTTCTATTTATATATTTTTTAACTGTTTTTTAATAAAAGGATATCTAATTAGACAAGTATTATTAATATAAATAATTATTTATTAATTGATCTAAAAAGAGTTTTTTTAAAGAGTTTCTATAAAACTATATCACAAATTACCTATTTATCTATTTATTATGAGTTTTTTTAATAAAAGAGAATCTAATTAGACAAGTATTATTAAGATAAAAAAATATTTATTAATTAATATAAAAAGAGGTTTGAAAAGAGTTTCTATAAAACTCTAACACAAATTACCTATTTATCTATTTATTATGAGTTTTTTAATAAAAGGAAATCTAATTAGACAAGAATTATTAATATAAAAAAATATTTATTAATTGATATAAAAAGTGTTTTTTAAAGAATTTCTATTAAACTGTAAAACAAATTACCTATTTATTTATTTATTATAAATAGATTTCCAGAAAATATAATAATTTCTATAAAACTCTACCACAAATTATCTATTTTATTTTATTTAAAACTCTATCACATATAACTTGTTTTTATCTATTTATTGTGAGTTTTTTTATGAAGGAAATCTAATTAGACAACGATACATTAAAAGAAA